CATGGGGAAAGTCCAGTGCCTTAAGAAGGAATCCAAAAGCAGACTGTATACTAACTGGGTAGCACCTAGAGCTGAAAAGGTAAAAAATGCTGAACACATGAATACGTAGAAGAGCTTCATTTAAATTAAATTCATTTAAGTTAATGGGGTGATAAAGTTGGGCCTCAATTTACACGGTGGTTACTTTCTTGGAAAAAAACCCATGCAAATAGAAATTGTGTAAAAAGATACCAAAGGTCTAAGAGAAATAAAGGTTTAGGTTCCAGATATGGCCAATAATTTGGATAATAAATACTTGTGCATACACATGGCCACAGTGCAGCACACAGGCAGCAAGGAGCAGAGCCCAGTAGCTTGGAGAGCTGCATGCAGCCAGTAAGTCTGGGGTGGTGGAAGGAGAGGGGGGAGGGAGCAGGGAGGAAAGGGGCTTGGTGGGGATGGACCTGCAGCTCATCCAGGGACATGGAGAGGGGGGGCAGATCTGCTTGGGTGGGGTGCGAGTGGGCTGCAGCTGCAGGGTGGAGTCGGGGCTACGTTGGACTTTTCCTGGTTGGGGCTGGGCTTGGGACAGGTGGTGGTGGCACTGGGAGGGGGCTATGGCCACCCCAAATTTCACTGTAACTTTCCCCCATAGCCTCCTTCCAATGTCGCTGCCACCCGTCTGGCATAGCTCTGGTTCTTCCCAGCACATGGGTAGAGGCAGGGCTTGAACCAGGTTTGCAAATGGGGTGGGTGGTGGTGGGACTGGAAGAGTGCTACAGGGGGCCTATGGTGAAATTTGGGGGGGGCTTGCAACCACTACCATACCCCCTTCCCAGTGTAGCCACTGCCCACCCCAAGCCCAGAGCCCACCCCACCAAGAAAAGCCCTCAGCTGCAGCCCACTTGCCCCACCCCACACAGATGCAGGGGCACATGCCCCAACATGCCCTCCTGGGTTGCGTGCAGTGGCAGAAGCCACCATGCCATCTCCACACCCCCCCTCCCAGATGAGTTGCAGCTCTGTCGCACCTATCCCAGCCCTTGCCCCACTCCACCATCATCATGGGGGGCACTGATTTGCCCAATACCCCTTCCCTCCTCCCTCCCCTTCCACCACAACACAACACACTTACCAGCTACACTGAGAGCAACGAGGGAGGGCAGTGGGAAGTGACTAGCTGATTCTAGACACATCTGCACATCTTGGCAACTGTGCTGCACCATGTAAAGTGAATCCATAACGTGTACAAAAATAAAGAGTCACAATTAATTGACCATACATACTTGAAACTGTGCAAAAAAAGAAAAAATCTGACTGTGCTTATACACCTGGGATGTGTGTGTGTGTGCGCGCACGCGTGCACTTGCATACACACACACACACACACAGTGCTTTGTTCCAGATAAACCTTCTGTGGCTGTTTGGATTGTGGACCAGTCGTGTAGATGAAACAGGTAGGGTGATAGCTTAGGCCAGGTGTGTCAAACATGAGGTCCAGAGCCAGATCTGGCCTGTGGAGCCACAGTATCCAGCCCACTGGACCTCAAGGGAGAAACTTGAAGTTGGGGCCTGCAGAAATAGGGGTAGCAGAGCATGCATGGCAAATAGGGGCAGCAGCAGCCGAGCACACAGTGATGGCAATGACACCCACAATGGTGGCAACAGCTCCAGCCCCCACCACACCCCCAGTGTTAGAGTCAAAGGCTCCACCGTGGGAAAGGGCACTTGGTAACAGCAGCTCTGACTCCAGTGTGGAGTACATGGCAGGAGCGGATTTGCTAGCATGTGCTCTGCTGTCACCATCACATGATCTGCTGTCAACGCTGTTTCCATATGCTCCACTGCCACACGTTCTGTTGTATTACCACCACGTGGTCTGCTGACACTTGTGTCCCAGACTGGATCCAGCTCACAAGGAGTCCATGGTCTGAATCTGCCCTGGAGCACAAAGTGAATTTGAAAACCCTGACTTAATCTTTTGATTGGCGATACCAGTGATTGTAAATCAGGGTGCCACAGCACTAAGGAATGCCTTGAGATCCTTTCAAAGGTGCTGTGCCATACATTATTAGCATTCTTAGGTATGTAAGCATGCAGCATATTTGTGCCACTGCAATTTATCCCCGGGAACCCCCCTACATGTGCACTCCAGCATGCATCCAAGTGACTTGGGTGGGGTAAGACAGGTTGGGGCCAGCACCCCCAGCACCCTTAAATGGGGTTTGGGGGCCTTCTGGAGCAACAGTGGCACTGAGCCAGCCCTTGCAACCTGGCCAGCAGCCAGAGTGTGGCTCTGGCTATCCAGACTCCTTTGCTGGTGGTGCACATTGCTGCCACATGCGCCATATTGTTTTTAGAAGTGGGGGGATTTTTTTTTACACCAGGATCTGCAAATTAGTATGGTGAACAGGTGCACATGCACCACATGCAGTTTGTGGTGCCTCAAGCTGCTTTGAGGCACTGCAGACCGCATGTTCACACTTGTCTGTATGCACCCAGAGACTTCAAGTAGGAACCCAGTGTTAAAACCATTCTGACCCACTGTGGTCTTTCAGAGTTCTTTACAACAAAAGAATGGCACTATTGTTTTTCTGTAGTAAAAAAATTGAGCAAAAACTAAGAACTGACATTTACTGAGAGGTGCACTAAGTCTACTGAGGGTGCCTTGAGTCTAAAAAAGTTGAAAACCATTGAACTAGACTTTCATTTCTACATACAGCACTCAAAAGTGTCTGATCAGAATTGAAGCAACATTGCTTAGTGAAGAGATCATTTATGCCAAAAATATATGAGACACTATTGTCAATGGCTGGCTGTTTGGAAGGATAAGAATAGATGAAAGATGTCAGATTTCTTAGATTTCTTAGTTATATTAATTGATTTTGGGACAAAAGTTCTGGGTCTCTTAATATTTAAGTGATAAGTTGCAACACCTACCCCAAGTTCTTCAGGCCTTGAACCTCGGCACTCCAAAAATTAAATGTTTCATAAGAGGAAAGATTTGGGCTGTGCATTTTATTAGCAATGGTTTTAGGACTATTGAATGTGGTTAGAATTATAAAGTTTTCTGTGCGACTTTTTATTCAAGATAAACAAAGACAACATACAGTGCAATATGTATTTTCTTAAGTTTTCTTGTGGGACCATGAAGTCAAACGCTATTTAATTAACATTCAGTATCATCTTAGCTTCAAAATAAAATACAGTTTCTTTCTATATTTTCTTTCACGTCCTTGGAAGTCATTTACCGCTAGCTTCTTACCTATGAAAGCAAATACAACAGCTGTTATTGTTTACAACCGCATAAATGATTTTTATCTTTCTATCTCAGTTCGACAGGAGGTGGGAAGAACAGTATCAACAATACCAAAACCCATATTCATCAAAACGAAGTTTTGGGACAGTTCTTGTTTGTTTAGTTTTAAAATAAAGGATGCTATCATTATGTATGGTTTAAATGTACTCCATTACTATTTATTAGGAATGACTTTACAATGAATTCTAGGTGATTGAGCCTGGAAATAAAACAGTTACCTAGAGTAATTACTCCATTGTGAGTAAAAAATGCTTCAGGAAAGTAAAATTTTGAAATGTACTGATAGCAAACAGTAATGTGCAACTGAGTCGTAGCAGGAAAGCTCCACAAACAGTGTACACAGTTCAAATGAGATACCCCTAGCAGTTTTACAATAAGATCTGGCCTGATTGGCCCAAGTGTCTAGTGTTACAGCAAGGTGTGGCAACTCAGGGAAAACAGATATGGATTGTAAATTGGGTTTCTCATTGCCTATGCTGGGAGTACTGCAGAAGCAACATGAGACACAGACAGAAGTGACATTTGTCAGATGATCAGCCCCTTGAAAATGCTTCTTCCAGTAAAGCATGGGTTTGGGGGAGGGTTGCTTGTTTTTTAAATGTCTGCAAACAGACACAGAGATCTAACATGCATCTCCCTTGAGGTCCAGTGGGCTGGATCTAACATGTAAATGGCTGTGGCTCAAGGGTGCACCTGCTAATTTGTTTGGTGGATGCTTAAGCCCCAGAACACCCACGGAGTTGATGCCTATGAACAAAGCTGCTCCTAAGCAGAGCAACTTCAATAATTTCTGTCTGCTCTGGATGCAAGAACTTCCGAGCTCAGCTGCTGTTTCTGGATGGAAGGGGAAGAAGGCAGGGGAGAAAGGTCACCTGGAGTGGGGGTGGATTGGAGCCCCTCACCTTGGGGGTGAGGGACTTCAATCCATCTACGCCCCCCCCCACTCCAGTGGGGCTGAAAAACCCCAGAAGACCTCCCTCCCCTGCCATCCAGAGACAGTAACAAAAGCTCCCATCTGAGAGTGGGGGCAGAGCCAGGGGAAGAGATGCAGGGAAAAGCAGGGGAAGATGCAGCCTCTCTCTCCAGATCTGCTCCAATCCTCCACCCTCCTGATCCAACAGCTAACGTCTGCTGGATTGGGAGGATCAGTCTAACTCATGGTGATTTCTATGAAGTGCAGGAGCTGCACTTCTGTATGCACCCGTTAAGTACCAGAAAATACAGGCTAATGTGGTAACACACATTACTTTGCTTTTTGTGTTCGTGTTACAGTAGAAGGAGACCATGCCTGTTGCTGTGCTGTGCTTGCAGGAAGACCTTCTTCTGCAGGCTCCCTGAGGAAATGGGAACTCTACGTTTCTAAAGAAGACTCTTCTGCATAAGTAAAGAAAACCCACTTTTTCTTTGCCTTGGACTAACTGATGGACAAAAATAAAGAACCATCTGTGCAAAGGTCAATCAGTTAATGGCAAAACATTTGTGGCAGAATCAGCAAAGCATCCAAATACACCCTAGAAAAAATAGTCATTTGAAGATGACTATTACTGATATCAGATATTTCCAAATTAGTTGTACCCAGGACTTATTGTCATAGCCCCAGTTCCACAAAAGGCTTTGAAGTTTTTCTGGTCAAAAATGGTAGCTGATTTCTGCAACCGGAGTCAGACAGTGGGTTGTTTTATAGGGCAAGGGTTGTTCTGTGTCAAGTAAGTTCACACCCAAAGAGCCATCGAAGTATTCCATATTCCACTGAAGTATTGATATTCCTTAGTCCATTCCTTTCCAACTTAAAAGTGAGGACCAACAGTAAGTTACATAAGTCAGAGAAGCCACATGTGAAATACATTTCTAGTATATTAGCTACATAAAAGTATATCCAAGTGACATTTTGTGTCTAGGTTAACAATCCTGAAAATAGTGGTAGGAAAGTCAAGTTATTAAAATATATACAAAGTGCATGCACATATATTTCAAATGAAATATTGCCTTGCCTTTCTATTTCAATACATTTTGGATATGCCAGTTGTCCTCTGTTACACTGTACTCTAAAATCAGACATTGAAGTTGATGGTGCTTGTAAATGGTTCTGTTTACAATGAAATTCAACATATTCCCCATGAATATAATAAAGTCTGTTGTCAAAACTCCATCTCAGTATTAAGTTATTTTTATCCATTATATCGTGTAATAAAGTACATGGCTCTTTGGAAGAAGGAAGAAAAAAAAATCACAGTTAATCTCCTCTATAATCTAATATACAAATAAATAATTTAAGGCTGCATGTATCTGACTAGAGCTTGTATATAAAATGAGGGAAAACACCCCCAGTTTTTAGCCTGCTTTCTCCTACTATTTTAGACAGTAAAGGCCAGATTCTATTCAATCTATTAGGTGTCTAATGCAACTAATGCGTTGCATGCACTTGTCTAACACACTGTCATTTTGCCCTTAAAACTGTCTCACAAAAAGCAACAAGAAGGATCCATCCACCTTTTGCACTAACAGCTTTTTCAGGAAGGCTCAAACAGAATTTGGCTCTAAACTATAGTACGTTTGGTTATGATGGGAATACCTCCAATTCATGCAGAAACAGAAAATCAGGACACAACCTTTTGTAAGCTTGTCCATACAGCTTTCTGAGTTACCCAAAACTGCTCTAGTGAAGAACTTTTAATTTGACTATCTATAACTAGAAAATTAATGTTACAACTTTGATACATGATGCTGAATCAAAATTTTTACTTTGCTGCTCGTATATATAGTAAATGTATGTCAGGTTTACCAAAACAAATTGGTGGAGTAGTCCATTGTCCATTGAAACAGTAGATTCTCTTAGACCCATTCAAGAAATGAAAACTAGAGCAACTGTATTCAACTGAAGAACCACTGACGTACTCTGTCAATGGCAAGTCAATAAAATCTCCATTCTTAATTATAGGTGGAAAGCCACATTTCTCTTTGGGTTCTGCACAATAAACAATATGAATAGACATTTAATGTGAGAAATATCACAAAACAGTTTTAAAACGACTATATGGGCCCTGCTACAATTTCAAATTAAAGCTAGATAGAAACCAGCTACAGAGTTGTTGCACCTTTTCAAGTACTAACTTTAGAGCTGGTTGGCTCTACTTATAGCTGAATGGTCATTTGTACTGTGATAAGTGTGGCAGGCCAGTAAGTGCTTTTGTGCTGAGCCACCCGCCTCACTGTGTGCAACCAAAAACCAAGCTTTGAGTGCCTCCCTTGGGGCTCCTATGTCTGGCTGACCCCATTCCTGGAGCACACCCACAAACCTGGGGTACCGCTGCCACCACTTAAGCTCTGGTCTCTGCTGGGCTCTGTGGTGCTCAGGGTATACAGACCCTACAGACCCAGGGGTTGCTTAGCCCCAGCAGGGTATATCTGGGTGCTTCTTATGGCCTGAAGCATAGAAAGTAGCCCCCCTTAGTCATCCCAGCAAAGGGAACAAAAAGGCTTGTCCAATCCCTCTCAAACATTTATTTCCAGGCTTGCTATGATAGATAGTTTTTTATTGATTGAAAAGGGAAGGCATAGGGATGGAATACAAAACAATAAGAATTTTGAAAGAAAACAGCGTTGAGCAAAACAGTATAAGGGGCTTGTTGGCCTTTTTAGTCTAGAACACTTAGGTCTAAGTTACTGGCTAAAATTCAGATAAATTACTCACAGGAACATGCAGAGGATTCTGGAGGTACTCAGCTTGATTTAGTAACCAGAAAATGTCTCCTCCTTCCAAGATGAAGGGATCTTTTTATAAGCTTTCTGACCTCATCCCCTGGACCCAATCAACATCAGGTATTTTCTGAGCATCACTGATGCGATCAGTGATTTGAAAAACGTCAGCGCTTGCCTTATGGAGGAACTGTTGCCTTAGGACAGCCCTCCCAGGCCAAAGCAGGAAGTTTAACAATGGACCTGACCACAGGGAGAGAGAATTTCCCCCACCCTAGGGGATTCCCTAGGTAACAGGTGGTTGCCTAGCAACTGGGTTGATAGACACATGGGCCCATAGAGGGAAAG